ACTCCCTCCACCCCCCCCAAAAAAAAAAATGTTTCCCCTCCTCCTCCTTTACCTACCTCCCCACCAGTCTCCCTCTGTTTGAGCTTCCTGTAGGCTATGATCCTCTCGTACAGCGTCATGTTGTTGGTGATCGCGGCCATCTTGTCGTCTGGCTTGTGACGCTGCGATCGTCTGATGAGCCTGCGGGCCGCCTTGTGCTCGGGGACCAGGAGGTCATCAACCACCTGACCTAGCCGGGCGTTGGCCTTGACCTGTCTGGCGTGTGGCTTCCGCCGGGGTGGACCCTCGTCGCCGGGTAGGCCTGGGGAGACCAGAGGGTAGGAGAGAGGGTAGATGGATTTAGTAAGAGTTTTATGACACTTGAAACACAAATAGGTCATATAGGACTTGTCGAAGATTGGAGTTGCTACTAGAGAGTAAGATTCCAAACAAACAAACAAACACACAATCAAACAAAAAAAGAAAAAAAAAGAGGAAAATTGACAGGAACGACAACCACACCAGAGCGCCCACGAACCACCCAAATGAGGGGGTGGTGGTTAGTCTGGAATTATAATATGATAGGTGGTCCGAGACAAAGCTTTATACATTTTATAAAAACTTTCTTGTTTGAGTGAAGTGAAATTACATTGGCACAATAAGGGCTATTTAGTGCATGGAAAGAGAAAGACACACAAGCAGAAACAACAAAAGGGAAACAAAACAAGTACGAAACCCACCAGTGCGCCCAGCAAATTTCTTCCCCCCCCCCCCCCCCCCCCATTACCCACACCCGACAATCCGCATGAACGTATGAAAGCAGTGTTGTCTACCAGTGGTATAGGTGATTATGCAAAAGGCATGGCTTTGATTACATATAGTTTTTAAAGCTGTTTTCCTATCATTTTGATATCAATTGCATGTGATATTGATGTCTCTTTCTCATCATTTTGGTGGCAGTCAGTTTCATTCCAATTCTCAGAACGGAGACTCAGAACAGGAAAACGACCAAGAGGACGACCAGAAAGAAGGTGGCAAGATGATATCAGAGAGCGGACAGGAATAGCCTGGATACAGAGAACAGCAGAGAGAATAGAATGGAGTTCAAAGTTGGATCTAGACAAACAAAGTCTGTAAAGACAAAAAGAAGATGGTTTCATTTCAACTCGATATTCTTTGACATAATTTCAATAACATTTAGGGTGTCAGTTTGCGTCTTTATTACGATGAAAACATTATTATCTTGTGACAGCAGCGCACATTACTCGATGATTGGTTGAAAATATTTCACTTTGTCATCGACACAATTTAAACAAGTAAATCCCCTTGAAAGCTAAGATAGATTATAGTCACAAAAAAAGGGAGTTAGTACAAATAAGACTGAAATTCTACGGAACAAAGGTATAATCGTACATAATTTGGTTCTCAAAGAGAGAATACATACATACATACA